CTCTCTCTCTCTCTCTCTCTCTCTCCTCTCACCCATTCAAGTCAATCTGATTAGTTCAGGTTTGATCAATTCCTCATCTCTCCTGGACCCCAACTACTCTCCACCCTTAGTGTTTTAGCTCACAGCACCCCTCCTTACCATTTTTTTGGGAAGTCACCTTCTAGACTGGATCCTACTGAAATGGAGATGCAGCGGTCTAACAGCAGGAGGCACATCCCTAGGGAGAAGCAAGCACCCTCTTTGTGACATTTCATCCTGATGCCAAGATTTTTTGGTGAACATCTGCACTTTCTTATATATATATAAATATATACTATTAAAAATAAAATGAAAAAGCAACTGGGTATATATATATCACTAACAGCTTTGTAGGAAGACTTTTCATGTTTTCTCTCACACACACAGATTCAAAAGAAATGTGCATCTATTTATTCTGTAATTTCAGTGATTATCAATTGTAAAGGTCATGTTTAATCATTGTATAGTGATTATGCGTCTGGTATAGTTTTCCTAATAAAAAGTTTTTGAAAAATATAATCCATGATATATAGAAGATACAAAGCTTGACCCTTAAGCTCCAGCGATGCCATGCCTTTCTTATCCTCCCTTTGCAAAAAAAGTCTTTTTTCCTTTTCCTTGTGATACAGAAAGCTAGTTTATTAACCAGTTTGATGCACTGTGATGTCGATAAATCTTGCCACCCTCACCCACATCCTCTGTCAAGATACTATGGGGACTTAACACTAGCTGATGTATACTTCCTGCCTTTCTCTTGGATTGTGAATTTCAAATTTAGTGGTCTATGAGGCAAGAAGCAACTGGGGAAAAAGAAATCAAATAACTGGATTGCTAACGAGTACAAGTAAGATGAATTGGATTAGATAACCAAAGACGCATGTCTCTAAAGGCGGTAAATGACTTCAAGGAAAAGGAAATGGAAATTGTTATTCTTAAAGTAAGAAAGAAATGCAGTCAAAGAACACATTCCCCCCATATCACCACCAAATAAAAATCGAAGCCCTGGGGTCACTTTCTCAGAATTCTGTTTGGTGTGAAAGTTGTTACTATTCTATTTGGGTATGGTTCCCTGCAACCATTTCTTATTTCAACCCCAGCTAGGACTGAGCAAAGATAGAATGCAAATTGAGGTCATTTGGTTTGGGTTGTTTGGTGGGGTTTTTTTTCCCTCCCGTCTTCCGGTATGACATTAAAACGTCACGAAATTGATTTAACAATAACTCAAGTTATGATCTATCCATACATGAGTGAAACCAAAGAAATCGGAGTTTTAAGGTGCCTGTGTCTTGTCTGTGGAGCAAACTGAAGTAATAGGAGCTTTGAGGCTAGCACTTCTCCCGTCCAACCAGTAGAGGGTAGCAGAGCTTCAGTGATAATAACTGCAGGGTTCTGCAGCGAAGCCAGGCTTTTCTGCTGATGTGTCCTGAAGCTGCCCTTAAAGTAAAAATTACCATTTCACGTTGAATGTAGTTCACAAATAAATGATGCCTTACATCACATTATCTCCCACAAAGAAGAACGAAACTAGCAGTTTTCACAGCTGTATAAATAATAGACCTCTAAAGCACTATACTTTAAAAAATGCCCCATGAATGTCTTAGAACATTATTTATGTATGTTTTAATAACAATGGGTGTCAGCATAGGTATGCGTGCAAATGGTGAACATGCATATAAATAAAAATGCAAGCTTTCAGGGCTACTGTACATTTGACATAATGTATCTAGAAGTTTTATCCTCTATTATTTAATATATATATTTTGAAATTACTAAAGATGAATAAAAAAGCCCATAGGGAGGGAGAAGGCTTACTATATTTCTACATGTAATACTGAAATTCTGCTTATCTTATGCAAAATGTCAAACTCTGCTAAATGAGTGTTAATTATTTTTTCTCTCTTTCTTTTTTTTTTTTTTTGCATTTGTATGTCATTTTGCTACACATTTTTTTTTTCTGATCATCTGTCCTGTCATGGGGGTTCTTTTTAAAAAGGCAAAGTAATCAGTATTACTTCATAAGTGTATATCCCCTTTAAACTAGTGACTAGTGATCTATTATATATGCATTACGACTTATCAAATATTTTGGTGATTAGTTGAAATCGTGTGTATAGTATAAATAACATGCAAAGCTAGATATTTCTAATAACCATCACCATTTCCTCAATAATAGCATACATCTCATAATATGGCATACTATACAAATCAGGCTAAAGTACAATCTCTTTTGATCCTGGTGCTTTTGACATTTGAAAAATGAGTGTTTATGAGGAAAAATTGAAATATAGCTTGATACCTGTTTGTATCTTTTTTAAAGTAGAAAGTAAGACTATATTGGCTTAAATGTAAGAATAATTTTATCAACGATCGAGGAATACACTTATTTATTGAAAATAAATTACATGATAATGGAATTATACAATAAAGGACATAGTTTTTTGTTCCAGTGGCATTTTCTGTCCTCTGGCTGGCACTTGTTTTAATTAGACATTAGAATTATTAAGTTAGCTTTGCTTTGTAACACCAGGTATATTTTCTTAAATTATCAAAAGTATCAACATAGATACTATGATTAGCATTTCTTTAATGCCTTGTTGCAATAAAAGTATTTTTATTTTAAAGAAAAATATGCCAATAATTCACTTTAGGATGATGGCCAATTTAACAGAAATAGACCAAGATCTAAAAGATAATTGTTATTACTGATTAATTATGTGAATAATATTTAAAAATTATATGAATAATATTTCAAAACCAAACACATTGCAATATTTCTTAAACTATGAGATGGCTGGTGGGAAATAAGCGAAATGGAAATACTAAAGTTCATAATAATTATGCTTTTTCTCATAAACAATATCAGCTAAATTGTTGTTTTTATATGTTCATTTACTATTTCATCTAATTGCATAATATTAAAACCAATAATTGTTATGGTCCAACTTTTTAATAAAAGTGTAAAGAGGGAGGAAGGAACACAAAGGAGATTTTATGACTGAGTTTGAAGAGTATTTTTGCATTTTGTCTTGGAAAATAAGGACTTGTGTTTAGAATATTTTAAATTGATAATTCAGTTACAGAAGTAAAGAATGTTATTTAATAATTGACTCACATTATTTGCTTTTTAGCGTGAATTTACTACCCATGGCATCCTTTCATTATTATGTTGGGTAAGCCCATTAACGTGTTGTTTTTTTGTTGTTTTTTTTTTCATTAACGTGTTTTTATGAAATGTGCGTGACGTAGGGAAAAGTGAAATGCTTCAGAAAAATGAGAGATTTTAATAAGCCAAGAAGGTATGAGAGAAAGTGGTAGTGAAAGGGCACATCATTTGAAGGGATTTGGGTTAGTTCAATTTGAACTTAGACATTTATAACTTATACATAGCTCAAAATTTTCTACTATGAAAATTCAGGTGAAAAGAACATAAGTGTTACTAAGTTAATCATGTAAGTGTTCTGTTAAGTATATGATGAGCCTTTTAAAAGTTACAGGAGCAATAATAACACATATGTAACTGGGTGATCATGTGTGTGTAACATTATTATATATGTTTATACACTGTATATACATGTTTGTAGTTTATATATACTGAATTATGTGTATATTATGCATTTTCTTATATGTGCAACATTTATCAGTTTTATTCACTTATTTTTCCTTGCTTCTGTCTAGCCATTGTCCAAGTGAAGATGGATGACATTAAGAGTCTTCTCTTTGGGGATATTCACATGTGAAAAGTAACACTGTAATTAACCTTTCTGAATTTAAAACTTCTTTTTATCTTGCAGTTACTTTCATTTTTTTTTCTTTTTTTACTTACGGTGTGATTTAAGTGAAATCCTCACATTAAAAAAAAAAACCACACAACACAACACACACACACACAAACACACACACACACACACACACACCCCCCAATCCAAC